CCCCCCATGTCTGACCTGGCCTGCGTTAGTGTTGATGTGTGTAACTCACTCCCTCAGGTCATCACAGTTCAGAGATAACATGTCAGGCTTCCCTCCTCTTTGCCTCGTCACGGTCAATAAAACCCTGAGACGTTACGATTCCCCGACCCCGTCACAACCGGCCACACGCACTTCATATATAAAACAGACAACACCGTGTCGGGTTAYTATGCCCCTAAATGACATAATGTTCGCTACACAGTTAAAACGCTCAGTAAAAAATGTCCACAGAGAACACATGGATTACACGGAGCCATGTTTGTCTGGTTGTGCTCCACTTTAACATCTTCATCACTTACATCTGAAAGAAATTAGAAAGAAGAGAAAAACAGACAAAGCTGCAGCTGAAAGCTTGTTTGTCAAACAGCAGATCAGCCGCTGCACTTCTCCAACCTTCATGGCTGCTAAATCACAACAGATGTGCTGCTCTTTATTAGAAGCCCCATGAAGAGAAAACTGTCTTAAGTCCTTGTTTAGTTTTTTTGTTTTCRTGTGACATGCATTGTTCCTGTGTGAGACATTACATAAAGTCCCTGTCTTTTTTAACAGTTTAAGCCTTACTAGCTGTATCAGTGATGCTGTCGTTGCACAGAAACTTGAGCCCACATGGTCATTTGGTGTCCACATGTCTGCTGCACATCCTGCTCATGATCAAACACTGACCCACGGGTTCATTTGAAAAACAAGCCGATGCTGCTTATCATTAAAAATAACTGTTTTTGAAATGATAGAATATTCTCAGATCTCAAAGGATGGATTTCTTCCTCAGTGTGACTGATAATGGACGGCTTAGCTATAGTTATGACGCACACGATTCAGTTTCTGCAAAGCAAACAAAACACTTGGAAAAGTAATAATAAAGAAAAACTATTTAATGTAGGGATTATCTTATGGGTATTATTTTAGCTTTTTTCATGTCTTGGCAGGCTGAAGGAATACAGATGGAATTAGAGTTGAGTAAATCCAATTTCATTAATTAATTAACTGAAATACATGGAAAAAAACCTACTCAGTTAATATAATATACTTTAGAGGGGGTATTAGTAATAGTAATAAGAGTATTAGAGGGGTTTGATCTTTCACGTGGCCAGTTTGATGACGTCACTTGTTTCCCTCAAACTGAATGCAAGAATATAACTTTAAAAAAGTAGTTTTGTCACTTCTTTCAGAAAAAAAGAGAAAATCTTTCCCTTTATTTTGTTGTTTTTTGCCCTCTTGTCCTTCAGTAGATGCTGAGTGCAGCACGTTTTATTACGCTGATGTTTGCYGATGAGGTCAAATAAACCCCATCTCCCATCTCAGTTACAGGAAAGCAGCAGCAAACTGTTTATCAGAAAAAAGCTTTTCCATAAACCAAGCTCATGTGCAAACACATGTCCTGAGGTGCAGGGTTTGGTTTTATGAGGTGGCTGCTAAACATGTTCTACGCTCTGTAAAGCAAYATTTAAAAGATTTTGGACTCTGTGGCTGTTGGATTCCAGTGGATACAGATRCATGTTCTGTGGTCAGTCCACAGTCCGTTTACATGGCTCTGACACTAAAAATCACAGCCAACRCAATTATCTAACTCAGAGTTTGTCTCAGCAGTTAGTTCTGATGTATTAAAAATCAGCTGGAAAAGAGAAATGACATCCCTGCAGCATCACATCTGCTAACCAAAAATAATAAATATGACCTTCCTATTTGTGTTTTAATAGTAAGTAATCAAACTTTGCAGTTTGTACACTCTGTTTCTAAACGATTTAGTGGTTTCTCCATCAGTCAAAAGAAAAAATAAGCAAATACGATCTCATTTGCTGAAGCGYCCGAAAACACCCAGAGGCTGTGACCTGCAGGACCGCCGTGCCGAGAGATCCAGGGTCTGCCAGCAGAGATTAACGTCGTCCGAAGATTAGTTGGGACGCAGTGGGACGCTTTGTAAAGTTTAAGAAAATGCCAAAGCCTCGTAACTATGGACAAACTTCTGCAATAAAAGTGTGCACTTAAACAGACTCCTTCTATGTGGACAAAAATATTAGAGGCGGGTGGTATTATGAAAAATCTACTTTTTGAGCTTTATATCATGTTTGCTCATGAGAACATACCCAGAATGTCGCTTTGACTCATTCATGCATGTTTGAGTAACCATGTTGATCGGCCTAAACTCTTTTTTTGCACAAAGCTCCTCCCAAGCTGAGCTCACGCCCAACAGAGCACCCCTCCCCCGAAGCATTGTTGTAAAGACGATGCTGAAGTGGGAGTGTCCGAAACGGTAGGAGGTTCTCTTACAGAGACAGAGGTCGATTTCAAGGCCTAAATATTTCAATATAGCTACTTGATTGTGGTTTAGAAATGAACTATGGGTCTGGAAAATACAAAATATGCCCATTTTAAGTGATTTTTGGGAAGTTTGTCATATTCAAATTACAAGTATAGAAGTAACCAAGTATAGAAAGTATAGAAGTAAGAAATAAATCTACACTAGGAATGTGCGATATGGCAAAAAAATTCATATCACGATATACATTATGATGAGTGTTGGTAACGATAGATATCACAATATAAAACTTATAATAGAAAATAAATAAATCACACATTAATTG